TATGTGACTCTTCAATGTTTAGAAGATCTGCATTCCTGAAGTGTTTTTGTATATTGCAACCAGTTAAATGGTCAATATTTAGCTCATTATCTTGCTCCATGCAAACTTTACAAAGCTAATGAATAGACTTACAACGGTATCAATAATTGTTTACCTAAAAATCCCCAAGTGGTAAACGCCACCTTGGCCTGTTGGCCATTATTGAAGGCAATAAGTGCCCTTTTTAGTAATCAATTATGATCCATATACTGTTGTTGTTGGTAGGCTAATTGCAACATAAAAAATAATGCTTCAAGAAGGCAAAAAAGCTGAAAAAAAAAATCACCAACCCTGGCTCTACCCTAAATATACAAATATAATATAGATATATAAATTATAAATATCACTATCAAACTTCATTAAAATATCTTATTATCAACTGGATGTTAACTTATTTTGTTACCATCAACCGGGGCTACTCAGGACAGTTTAGAGCGTTTTTTTGTTAATAACTGTTAATAACTTCTTACGATGAAACATTTCATGAACAAGTTTAGGCTCATTTATTGCTCTTTGCGAGGGCTATCAAATGGCATCGTCAAAAAAATTCCATATGCTATTCCTAAGGTGCCAGAAGCAAAAAAAGAGTGTCCCGAGTAGCCCCGTCAAACGGGGCTACTTCGGACACTTGCAATAAAACTTCATTTTAAAATATTTGAAGCATCCATTACTAACAGTACTCTGAAGTTCTCCTCTTTCTATGTAGATGATGTAGAGGTAGAATAAATGACATTTTCAGTGATTTTTATTTGTTTTTCCTTTATTGATGATATTACCATAAACATTAAATACCATCAACTGGGGTGACTTCGGCTGCATTTTTTATTTTGTTTTGCAAACAAAAACTGGACCATAAACACCAGGGTTGTAAACAAGGTCATAAACGCCGGAGTGACTTTGGCTATTGTTTATGACCCCGCTTTTGTTTGCAAAACAAAATAAAAAAATGTGGCCCAAGTCACCCCAGTTGACGGTACCGGCTGCGTTTTTTATTTTGTTTTGCAAACAAAAACGGGGTTGTAAATGCCGGGGTCATAAACGCCAGGGTCGTAAACAAGGTCATAAACGCCGGAGTGACTTTGGCCATCGTTTATGACCCCGCTTTTGTTTGCAAAACAAAATAAAAAATGTGGCCCATGTCACCCCAGTTGACGGTACCCTATTATTGGTTCGATATTACTGTATTATTGATGTGATATTACCCTATCCATGAACATGCCATTGAGCATTTACAACAACCTTGACCACTGCAAGCTTCATATCAGCAGCCTTATAGCATTTTTTCTGTATCTGTAAGCTCACAGGACGGCTTGTAATTTCACACCATTTTAATTGGGTTGAGTGAATTTACTATTAAAAAAATATAACTCAGTACTCACTGCAGTGAGTGACAGCGCGCATTTTCTCGTCGACGAAAACTTGAGGTCACAGACGAATGGACGGATGGACGGACAGACAGACAGAGGGACATGGCAAGCACAATAGTGCTTGTTTATGTGCCATGCGCTCGTTTATGCGCCATTTTAATTGGGTTAAGTGAATTTACTATAAAAAAAAGATCGCGAAAAACATACCTACCTAAAACAGAAAGAAATGTTTTAGTGACAACCATCATATATTTTGGAGAAATAAATCATAGTTTACGTCAATTAATTTTCATTCTATGATGCCCAGTGCACAATTATATATATAGCATTCTATGTACAATTTTGTGACGACCGATGATGCACTAATTTTTTGATAAGTGAAATTTTTTTCGCCAAGCGAGGTAAATGTAATCAATATTCTTTGTTTTGAATGCATATTTTTCTTAACTGGAGCCTTTGCTTACTGAGGTTCTACTGTAAATGCGTTTTTAGGGGTGTCCCAAATAGCCAGGGGGGGGGTGTCCCAAGTAGCCCTGCTGTGCGGAAATGGCCGCCACTTTTTTTTTGGAATGAGATAGGACAATTCCGTCAATTACATTTTCAAGCCGACACCTGGGTGCATCTTTTGTGTAAGTAAAATTTTTTAATATGGTGAATATTTTTTGACCACAGACCTTAGCTGAAATAACTTTTCAAAATAGCGTTTTTCACCATTTTTTCAGGAATTTTTCAAAGCTAGTAAATGTAGTATTTTTTGACTTCCTTTATACCACATAGATAGGTAAAATGTTGACGTTTATGCCACTATATTTAGTTTTGCAATATTCCAATTAGTTTTGCTACTATAATAGTTTTACGCCGTGTCAGAGGACTGTCCTGAGTAGCCCCACCCATCCCCAGTAGCCCCGGTTGACGGTTTAATACATGCAGAACACGAGGTAACCTTTTATCTCCCCATTCATGCAAGAATACTCTTTTAATGTTACAAATGCCGAGTGGCAGCTTCAGTTGCCACGCTGTATTATTTAGCTTATATTGTCTTTAATGTCAATGTTTACTGCCATTTATGAGTTTTGGTCTTATTACTAGACTCCTAATCCATTATTTCAACACATAAGATTATAAAATATTTACTTACAAACAATTTTTGAAATAGCCTTTTCTGTGGGCTGATACAAGCCTGATCATAAACATCATTACTGCCTGTAGTTTAAATGTCAACTGACTGAAGGGTGAGTGACAGAGGAGAACAATTCTTGTTCAGAAATTGTATGGAATGTATATGATGCAGTGTAGGACTACAAAACTGACATTTATATTATGGATGAGACCACCATTTTTTTGTGGTGGTAAGTAAAGTTGCCAGTAGGCTTTAATGGGTTAGCTGATCAATAGCAAATCTTTCTCCTACTGAAAAACTTGTTATTTTTACTGACACCCAATCATCCATTTTACTGACCAAAAATAGAAGACCAGACAGTTACTAATTTTTTAAATCTAATTTTTTTTTATCCAAACCTAACTTATGTCACTACTTTCCTTGCATGAAATATTCCTACAGTAGGTATGTCCATGGCCTCAAAGGCATCAGGGGCAACAAGGCGGTAGACCAGGCAGCAGCAGAAGTCCATTTCCTGTGGTACCACACCTTAATTGCTATCTTGAAGGAGGAACTGACCAGACAGTTGAATTTGAAGATTATGGCAAAATGGAACAGTTGCTGGATGAACAATATTAGAAGTCCAGGGAGGGGCTGCTTCATTAGCTCAATTAAGGAGGAAGTGGGCAATTGCCCATGAGCCCTCAATAAGAACCATTCTGTGGAGATGGTACTGGCCAGACTGCACACTGGTCACGCCAGAGTTGAAACACACCTTGCTTGCTTCAACTGGTTGACAGCCCTTTATGTCCTTGTGGGTCTCCAAATACCCTACCATTCATCATCTGCTGCTGAATTGTCCAATTCATGCCTCTGCTCGTACTAATCTTACTACCTAATGCATTAACTGCACTTAATAATTTAAAGAATCTTCTGGGAGGAGGCCCTTTTTATGGTGCCACCCATAATGCAGTTGCCACCTTTTTAATTTTAACTAAGACTCTACACTGCAACAAATTTTTATGAGAAGTTGATTAATGGCTTATTATCTTGTTACTCACTCTTTTAATCCTGAGTTGACTAAATGCATTCAACTCTGGTGGGAACTAACAATCTAAATTTAATTTCTCTCCCCAACTCTCAACTGTGTGCTTCTATTATGGAAAGACAACCACTCTTTGCAGTTATAATATAATTAGGAATATTTAGTTTTGTGTAAGCAGAGACTTCCTTTTGTAAGGAGTGCTACCCTTTCCCCATTATACTCAGCCTTCCCTACGTACCTATTCAAAATTCAAAGAGTTAGGATTGTTGACTAAATTTTTTATTAAACATTTCAATTGATGATTGATTGATTGTTTAAAAAAAATAGATTAAAAAAAGAATATTGATTTCATTTACCTTGCTCAGCAAAAAAATTTCACTTATCAAAAAATTAGTGCATCATCGGTCATCACAAAATTGTGCATAGAATGTCATATATAGAATTGTGCATCAGGCATCATAGAATGACAAGTAATTGACCTAAACTATGACTTATTTCTCCAAAACATATGATGGTTGTCACTAAAACATTCCTTTCTGTTTCAGGTATGTTATTCATGATCTTTTTTTTTATAGTAAATTCACTTAACCCAATTAAAATGGTGTGAAATTACAAGCTGTCCTGTAAACTTACAGATACATAAAAATGCTATAAGGCTGCTGATATGAAGCTTGCAGTGGACAAGGTTGTTGTAAATGCTCAATGGCATGTTCATGGATACAGTAATATCTCATCAATAATACGTGATTAATGTATATGGTAATGTCATATCAATAAAGGAAAAACAAGTAAAAATCACAGAAAATGTCATTTATTCTACCTCTACAAGTCTACAATGAAAGAGGAGGACTTCAGACTTCAGAGTACTGTTAGTAATGAATGAGTACACTCTGCATGCTTCAAATGTTTTAAAATGAAGTTTTATTACAAGTGTCCCGAGTAGCCCTGTTCGACAGGGCTACTCGGAACACTTTTTTTGCTTTTGGCACCTTACGAATAGCATATGGAATTTTTTTGGAAAATCCATGTGATAGCCCTTGCAAAGAGCTTTGAAAGGAGCCTAAACTTGTTTATGAAATGTTCCATGGTAAGAAGTTATGAACAAAAATTGTTCGAAATTGTCCCGAGTAGCCCCGGTTGACGGTATTGATTTGTTAAAATTAAAACTTGCCTGATACCTGGCTGTAGCAGTAGTTTCCTATTTTGTATTGCATACGCCAGTATGTTACAATATGCACATGCAATTTAAACTGCTATGTACACGTGCAATATGTCTCAATTAAATTTTTAAATGGTTTCATGTCTTTGTAATTAAATCTGCATTTTGTTCAGTTGAATCACGAGTCACTTAGATTGAATTGAATCCAAAATTGTAATTTAATTTTTTTTTTTTCAACATTTGTTACTCAATTACTAATGTCATTTCCAATTCTTCTATGTAATAGAGATGAATGCAATCAACAGTATATTTATTATTTTTATTATCTATTGAATTTAATTTATGAAAATTATAATTTTTATTTGCAATGATTGAACCTGAAGATTATGAAGATGACACAGTTGTGTTTGAGGTAAGGTTATTGTACAAGACAAAAGTGCTCATAATTTACAAATAAATATTTGATGAATCATAATAAAAAAATTACATTTTAATAATAAATATAAATTTTAACTTTAAATTTCAATTTAATTCTTATCTACAAACTTAATTTCAATGAGCTTGATGGTTATTTTTCACAATGATGGGGTAAAATGTCACTTAAGTAAAATTTTTTGCAGATAATAATTTCAAAACTAAGTTTGATTGTGTTACTTGCTAGCCCTAAAAATAATGTAAAATATTTTAAATTTGAATTATCACAAATTTCACATAGTCTTTTTTACCTGAAAAATATTTGTGGATATATTTCTTTAAAATCACTTGTCTTTGCCACATAATGTTAACTTGACATTGACAGGGTTCAGCATTACACAGCCACCTGAAGAGTCTCCATCTCATTGAAAATGATCTGGACCATCCCAGCCTATCATATTCTGTACAAACATCACATTTACCTCAATGTGGGAAGAATTCTGAGAAATCTACGCTTCCTCCTATATTTTCTTGGAGGAAGCTCATAAATGTAAGTCTAAAACAGAAGTTACTACTCTTCTGCCTATATAAATTAGATAGGTACAATAAATAGCATGAGACTAATGATGTAAAATTTTGTAAATATTTTTCATGCTACTTGTGAACATGTGAAATCTTACTCTGGATATGAGTTTTATGTAGTATTTTTAATGTGTTTAGTCAAAAAGTTAAATTTAGTTTAAAATGTTTAATAAAAAATTTAGTCAACAATCCTAACTCTTTGAATTTTGAATAGGTACGTACAATAACAGCTATTGAAACTTTAGGCTTAGTTTTGCTTACTTAGAGTGAATAATTAGAGTGAAGGTTTGAACAAAATAAAATAAAGTGAAATTAGTGTGAAGGTTTGAACAGCTAAAATTGTTGTTAAATCACTTTTTTGACATCTTGTGATGAAGGAACTTTCTAGGTATATAAGAGTAGGTATATACATCCTTTTATTTGTACTAGTCAGGCTTGCAATATCTCTGATTTACTATATTCCAGCATAAAGAACTTTTCTAAAAGAATCATTCATTATTATTTTACCCCCAAGAACAAGTGATTTAATGTTGTTAAAGTTACTTTGTTTGCCTTTCTGCTTGTGTCTTTTATGGTAAAACTTTTTTTCATATTTGTTTTCCATTTCAGGCTGGTGTGTCATATATTTCTTCTCTCTTTACAACACTCTCTGCAAAATATCTACACATAGAACAGGTAAAACTACTAAAATCTGGAATGTTCTATTTCTACTAGAAAAACATTACCAAAAGAAAATACAAAATAAATTAGTGTTGGTACAGTGACCTCTTGCTTTCTGCTGTTCTGCCATAGTAATAATATTAATCAACAAAATTGAATCCATGCAGAAAATATCAGTACTTCAGTAAAATATTAAGATACAAAAGACCTTGTACCTTTTCACAGAAAATGTGCTCCATGAAGGAGAATTGCTTTATTTTAGAGTTTTTTTAAAGGTCATGACAAGTGACATAAGAGAAACATGTTTTTGATACTTTTTCATACAAAAACATTTGTATTTTTATTCTTTTTATCATGGGCATCACTTCCCAGTACTAATCATGTGTAGATATGAGTAAATTGGTATAGTTTGGCAGAAGATTTTCTTTTATGCAAGTTTGAATGAAGACCAGAGCATACTTCATATTAATAATCTTCTTATTTGTCTTTTCAATGAGTTGAACATGGCACCAGGAGATCAAACATCATGTTATCAAAAGACATTTTAATTGATGTGACGTTTGAAAATACAATTTTCATTATCAAGCAGGTGAAGTTTTGCAGCACTTGAAATTGAATTTTGAAAATGACAGTAAGTAATACAAAGCATTGGTATAGTGGATACAATTCAAAATACAATTTAAAATCTAAGCTCAAAAATTACTCTGAAAATAATTTCAGCGTCCGGACGAATCCTGTACCGTAGTTTGGAGGTTGATAGCTGGAGACTCGCTCTTGGTAATGAGGGCCTCAGCTATCGTCAATCTCGATGGGTCGGGGCACTGCATAACTATGCTGGTGCAGGCTTCCAATGTCGCTTGGGTGATGGTCTCATTGTGAGCCTCCCGCATGTGGGTTTTGTGTCCTCCAGATTGTAGATGGCATGTTAGTTGGCGGCTTAAGGTCGTGCTTGTAAGACCAATGTAGTTTATATTTTGAAGAAGTCCACAACCTTCCTTATTACATGAGAATTTATAAACATCATTAGTTTCTTGAAGCAGTCCAGCTTTTTTACAGGGATTATTGTTCATTACAAGGTTTTTGATTTTCTTATTTTTGTAGTAGATCAGACATTTTATTTTTTTGTTATCTGTTGTGCTCTTGATATTATTATGGATGATTGACTGGAGGACTCGTTCATCCACTTTGTAGCCTCTGTTCATCAGGTTTTGGTAGAAGACCATTGTGATGGTTCCATTAGATATTGCTTCATTGTTGGTTTGGTTTTCTCTAAATTGGTAATTTGTAATTTCAGTGTCAATTGTTCCATCTGAAAACCCATTGTTTACTAGAATTTGTTTATATGATCTGAGTTCAGTTTTCAAATGTCTTTTGGTAACCTGCTGTTTGATCTCCTGGCGCCAGCTAGAAATTTAGTCCGACTCTTTGAAAAGACAAAAAAGAAGATTATTAATAAGAAGCATGCTCTGGTCTTCAATCAAACTTGCACATGAGTAAATATATATTCATCAATATTTGAAATGGATTCATTAGCATATTCCAGGCTATGTACTAACAAGTAACCCTTTGAAAGGTTGATGTAGAAGTACACAAAATGTTAATATCCAAGGCTAGTACAAGAAAGTATTTTCAGCCCAAAAATGTATACATATGTTACCGTAACTCTTGAATGCCATTAGGTATTTTACATATTTAGGGCTCAAATAAATCACTTTTGCAGAATTTATAATTTCATTCATCATACTTTAGCCATTTGATATAATTTGAAAAATACTTTGATGTGTAAAAGGAAACTGTCTTCCAACAATTCTAAGCAGTACCAGTATCTAGTTACTGACATCAATTAAAGAGAGATTGCTTCTTCTGTGATTTTGAATATGTGGAAAGAGCACCAATTTTTGTTCCCAAGACACAACATTTCTTGGCAATGCCTTGAGCCTTTTTTTAAAAAGGCTCAATTTTTTATCCATTTTAGGGACAATGCTGTGCATGGCATGATAGGCAATTGACTGGCATTAATATACGGAAGTGGCGTAGCCACAAATTAACTAGGTAAGTAACTAAGAGGATGTGATGGGCTGTTTTGGGCATAAATTTAAAATTGCCTTTATTAAAAAAAAGCAAAAGAAAGTGTTGAAAGTGATATTAGATTCTGAAACACTGCACTCCAATAAATTTTAATTACAGTTTCTTATTTCTTGATCTCAGTTTTAAAAAAATTAATATGTCAGCTGCTGTATTTCATTTAAATCTTGCTGCTGTGTCAACCTTCACCAATATAATTACTGCCTGTGATATCTTCTCCTGGTTTTAATTCATCAATCATTGATGTGTGTCTGGGGTCATACTTTCAAAACTCGCTAAGTGAACGTAAGTACTTACGCTCTATTTTCTTGTCTATGATTGGTGGATTTTGCTTGAAAGGCCGTCAATGATTGGCTGATGAACTTACGATCTCTTAACTTTTTTTGAAAGTATAGGCCCTGGTGTCACCAGAGGATGTGTCCAAATTGCCAGTGGTGGATGTAAAAGTGTAGTAGATTTTTCACTGTACAACTGTGGCTTTGCAGTAGTCCATAAATTTTAAAGTTTGGAAAATTTATTACTGGAATAGGGAATATAATGCTCTTATGCTCTTATTTATAATGGGAGGATTATTGTAATGATTTGCTAATTTACTGCCTGAAGTTGCTTCTTATTAATTATTCAAGTGACAAAAAGAACTAGTTTATGAGGTTTCTGATAATTACTTCCAAACCTCTCCATAATTAAGAAGTTTTTTTTTTTTTAATATTTTGTTTGAATGATTCTTCAATACCTGATCTGAATTTTTTCTGATAATTTTTCATTAAATTTTTTGGAATTTTTTAGTTAGCATTCCTCAGGAGTTTGATAAATCTACCAACCTCATCAATAAAAAATCTCTGAGATGAGAACTTTATTACCCTACCGGTACTTATCCAGAACCTTTAGCCTAGTACATAAATAGCAAGTGCTTGCAGATATTGCTAATTCTTTGCATGGGCCATCCTAAAATTGAATAACTGAACCACTTTGCCTGCCACTTCCATTAATAGTAACCATCTTTTAGAGGAGGGACATTTGAAAATTATTTAATTATAATCCCAATTTATTATTCATTCAGTGACAATTCAAAGTCTCTGAATATTGTGACTATGAGGCTCATCAAAAATATCAATATACAATGCCTAATTTGTCTATTAAATTTCTGTGCTGTTAAATTTTAGCTATTACTCTTAGAAAGCTGAAAATAATGCGTTAATAAAAAAGTTACATAGAATTTAACAATATACCTATTTCTTGAAATGAAGAATTAAATTTTTGGAAGTTTTAATTAAATTAAATTTTTTTTATGAAATTAAATTTTTAAATTTGGAAGTTTTTTGTAAACCAATTATTTTACTATTTTTTTTTTATACAACACTAGTCATGACTTCCATTGTGCTTAGTTTAGAAGCATTTTTAAGAAGTCAAATAATTCAAAATAAATTTTCACTCATCTAAGTAAATTAGGTTTAATTAATTATTACTATTATTGTAGAAAATTGTTATATTAAAATATTCAGTCATTATTATCATATTGATATTATACTTCTATATATTAGTATAATAAATATAAGTTACATTACTGGTCCTATTAATTTACTATTCAACTTTGCTTGAAACAACGATTTGTGCATGATGACCATTGACCAGTGCCAAGTAGTAGAGGTTATTAGCATTAAACTGTCTCTTGCTAATGGAATGCAGACATTTGCTCAACAGCGTTTGTTATTTCTCAGCTGCAGGAAGAGGTTCTGCATAACTTGGCTCTCCTCATTTGCTCTAAAGGACTCCTGACCCACGATGACAGGCTTCATCTGTATTACTTTTCTCCAGTTTTCTCCCGGTGAGAGGCCCAGCTCTTTGCTTGCAATAATTCCATTATTCAGCAAAGTCATAGTGTAATGATCTATGCCAGAATATTGTCAAGAAAAGGTTCTTATGATGATGATAGTTGCCTTACTTTTTTACTGAAGATAAATGCTTTAAAAGTCTATGATCATGGACCTTCATTTTGTTTATAGTAATGGTATTGCAATCCCAAACTTTTGATCCTCAAAGGGCTCATGAGCTTTATCACTTATTTGCTTGAAAATAAAAAATTGAAATAAGACTTGTCTTCCTATGTAGTAAGATTTAGACAAAATTGAATGCATTATTGTCAACAATGTGATATAGAAACTTATTTGAATTTATTTAATCTCAAATATTCAAATCAATGATTTAAATTTCACCATGTATGTGTATTGGAAGAAAATGTGATTTGAAAAAACATTGATTTTTATGTATACTAAATATGCTTTTCATTCTTCATTTATGTCTACAACATAGGTACTAGAGTAAAAGTAAATGCCAGAATTTATGCCACTTACCATGTTGAAGTATACCAATCACCTTATGGAAAATTTGCTACCTAGGTTGGTGGAGGAGCCTGAATTGTTGGATCTCATCCAGCAACAAGAATCAAACTCAATTTCTTCTTTGCTGAGCTCCATTAAACCGTGCAAGAAAATGGGAGCTCTTCTCCTTGCTGCTGCTGTGACAGCCATCTTTGCTCATCTCTTGGGTGATTGTTTAGAATTATTTGTTTTCTTTCTAATATTTTAGTAACAATTTAATGTGCATGCTCAATAATTCCTACCAACTATACTAATGTTAAATAAAAATGCTTTGTTTGGATCAGACGTTTACTGTTTATGTCACAGCCTTTTATTGTAAAGTTTTTTTTTACTGGAGATTTACTGTCCTCAGAGCTCAGCAAGAGACATAACATACAAATTCTTTCTGCATGCTGTTGGAGGGCTGCTTCTGCCAGCTGTTTGCTCTGGGCTCCAGCTCTGCTGTCCTGCGTCACACTGTATTTTGTCAGGTCAGTCATGCACTTGGTCATTAATGCTCCATATGAATGGACCTAGTCATGTGATGAGAGAAAAGCCATGCAGTTTTACATGAAATAATATGCCTTTGATGGAAACCAGGAGAAAACATCGTAATATACCAATAAATCAAGATTTATAAGCTGACAGGCATCCTAAAACCAAAGCAAAGTATTGGCATTTGTTATAATTAGTATTCATTTTTTGTATCTTTTTTTTTTCTTTCATAAATCGTTTTCCTTTGTAAGCTTTAGTCAAGTATTCAAACCTCTCAAAATGACGATGTTGGTCTCGCCTATTCGACCGTAATGCTTTTCTTCTCTGTATGTGTCAGCACATATTAGCCGTGGTTGTGAGCAACACATCTGTGTTCAGTGTGTTGAGTATGTGTAACACATACTCAACACATGTGTTGTAACTGTAACACATGTGTTAACAGAGCTGCAGTGCAGCAGCGCTACAGGCAGAGCTACGCCGGCGTGAGTCGGTGCTTGCAGAGCCTCGCTGCGCTGCAGACCTCCTGCCTGCCGTCCGCCTTCAGTGCTGCTGCAGACGCGGCGCTGCTCCTGTCACCTGCAGATCCTGGGTACAGTGCCTTGTATCTTGTTGAAACATGTACGTGAGCAGAGAACGCATTATGTTCCAATTTTCAGGTAGTCAACTTTCCTTGTATATCTGTATATTTATTGCCATGAAGCTGCTTCATTAATACTATATTATCGTTGTCGCGTCATAGCATTTTTAGCGACAATTATGGTGATGAAATGTCTCGTATTATGAGAGTTCAGGGAAGAACAAAACAACGCTGTCATTTGGGCAGCACCTCGCAGCTGGCGACGCGCGTTGACCGCGAGGCGGCGCGGCTGCAGGAGCTGCTGCACGCCGTCCTCTGCGCCGCCCTGGACGCCGTCGCCCCCGACGCTGCCTGCCAGCTGGGGGAGGAACTTCCTTGTGGCCTCACGTGGCAGACAACTAAGGTGCGTCTGGCCTTTTTTTTCCTTCACGCTGACCTCATTATAGATTATTTGGAACTCGAATATTCACTTTTATTATTAGTAGCATGATAATATTACTTAATTAATTTTTGGGTAAATGGTTATTAATTTTTAGGTAAATGGGTAATCATTTTTGAGTAAACAGTTCAATTCTATCCAAAATACTTTTAACTGTTTTTTTTTTCGTTAATCAAGTTCAATTCTAGACTGTCTTCAACTTTGCCCGCCAATGTTTGGCGTTCAACTTCAGTACTTGTACAAATGTACTCGCGCCCAAGTCAAACATCCTTGCGCGCAGGCCATAGGCCAGCCATCCCGTGCCAACTTCCGAGCCTCCCAACCGAGTTCGCAATGCAGCGGTTTGCTTATGATGCGAAAATAACGAAATGGTCCACATATCATCTTGATTTTTTGTATTTAGCTTGCTCGTGGGTTAATGTGTAAAATTCAACTGAAGAAATGCAAGTTTACTTTGCTTAAGTTTTCTGTGAGTGCTCTTGACAGAAGTTGGCCAGAAATATGATTTTTATTTGCTTGCTCAGGGAATATTTACTTTTTATTTTTCATTTTTTACATCCCAAGTAGTATTATTTTATCCTGTTTTGGAATTGAATCGCCTGTTTCATTATTTCAGAAAATGAAGCGAGACCTAGAACTCCACGTGTCGGCCCTCGCTCGGGATCTACTGCTGGAAGCGGAGAAGATCAATCGTAGGACGGATTTCCGCTCCATCATCGACAAAACTTTCGGAAGTGGCTCCTTGTTGAGTTTGTTGGACGCAACTAGCCGACCCTTGTTAAATGTCATGCCAGAAATTGACGCGTTAGTCAACACCATCTCGGGCCAAGTAGGACTCTTGCGCCACTGCTGGTTATACTCCGAGGACGAAAGCAAACCTCGTCATCAGCAGCCTGCAGAAGAAGTTTCCTCTGCTGCTTCTCTGACCCACCGCATGCGAGCTTGCTTGCTCTTGCTGGATGACCTCAAGCCTCTACTTGAAAATTTATCCTCAATATATTCATCGTTCCCTACAAACGAAGCTTCACCAGACAAGCTGTTGATCATAAATCAAACGTACGATGATATTCAAACTAAATATTCTAAAATTAATGATGAGCTGAAACTATGTCAGTTTGATGCAGATGTTTTAGGGTCGAGCTTGTCGTCTCGAAAGTTGCGTTTGCTGGGACGTTGTGGTGTGATGAAGAACACCAACGCAGACACAACAGGTGCGGCGTCAGTACCTGATGTCGCTCCAAACGCGTCGACCTGCCATGCTGAGGATTTGAACATAATTCCTTTCATGCCTCATGTTGTAGAAGACGAATTCTTTGAAGCCACGACCGATGGCGTTGATGATAACGTCGAAGAAACTACTGTTTGGTCCGCGGATTTTGAGCAGGAAGAGCAGATCAGGAAGCACGTCATAGCGTGCAACAGGCGCGTGCTTACCGAACTCCAGCCAATCCTCAGTAAAAAGAAAGAAGAATTTAAAAATCGGGAAGAGAAAGCCAGGATACGTATGAAGGATGAACGCCTGGACCAACGTGCTAGTTGGCAGCGTACGGAGCCAAGTGAGGTAAACTGCGCTCGGTATTGAAAATAGTTCGTTGTTTAAGGCAGTCGTGCGGAAGTTTGACGTTCTGTCTAGGTAAGGTGAAAATAGGCTGAGTTAAGCTCTTGCAGAAGAAATCAGAAACGCATGAAAGCTCTCGTTTTTATATCCGCAGAGTAGAAATTATGTGTCATTCGTATCTCGAAAACCGTTTGCAAATTTTAAGTGCTAGAAGTACTTATTTGAGTCAGAAGGTTGTGGAAATTATCGGAAGATGTATGACTTGGTCATTTAAGATTCCTTCTTCGGTATAATTTCATGCTTACATGCTCGTGTCTGTAATTGTTTTCGATCGATTTTTGGTGATTTTATCTTGGTATGAATTATCAATGACATTCGAATATTCAACTTATTTTTCTCTTTTAACTTTGTTTTGATGGCCTTGAACAACGCATGTGTTTGTCGAATATGTGATTTGGAAAAGAGGTGGGCGGTTCATGCTTGATCTTCATTCCTTCAAGACTTGCTTGCCTAGCCTAAATCTATTTCCACAGGTCCTAGCGGCGTCTGATGGACCTGGGGGCGTCTCGAGCCTGGAAGTATTAAACGTGGGCGACGCAGCGGCTGCTTTGGACGCCTCGAAGACCGCAGGCTCGTCATCGCCCGTCTTGCGCACCGACGGAAAGAAACAATCAATAGACGCGGTTCATACGCGAGATTCGTTGTCATCTCTAGCTAAGAAAAGTGAATTGCATTCCAAACAATATCACCAATCTATAAGTGCTTGTGAAAGCATCCACAAAATAAAAGATGATCAATTCAGTCAGGCTTCAGAAAGTAACGAGCCTCATATTCCTGTCAACAACAAATGTGTGGTGAAACCGTTAGTTGATCATTCTGGCCTTACAATGTCAAATGAACAAGATGGATTTGTTTATGAGAGTGCGGATGTGCCGATCAAACATGATATTGCTGCTGATGGCTGCTTATCTAAGCTCGAAGAATTCATATCTGATCCCAACTTGGACGACACAGGCGGTGAGTTGGAGTGGCGAATGCCCGGTAAGCCTAGAGACCTTAAGGAACGCCTGAAATTGATGATGGAGAACCAAAGACGAGAACATAGTGATGCTGGTCCGGACGAGGACGTCACCTACGAGTCATGTGGCGGCAGTCGCTTCCATTCTCTGCTGGCGGCTGAAGCGGTGCGTCTGTCGAGTAGGTTTGGTGGCGAGGTCGAAACATTCGGGGGCGAGGGCGAGGGCGAAGAAACGCTCGGGGACGAATCAGACGCCAGCAGTGAGGAGGGCGCTAGCGAGAAGCCGGGTGGGCAAAGTGAATTATGATATTTACTTTCAATTTGAGCCGAAGGGACTTTCACTGTTGAAATAATTGTTCCTTCGAACAATAATTATTAATTGTTCCTTCGAAACCATAGAAGTCATGTGACGGCTTCTCGTCGTGGCTTTGTTGGCTATTTGTTATCGCGTGATTTACCACAACATAATTGATCGATGATTATACTTTATGCTATATATGTTATGATAATGTGATGATGAAATAATGTGCGATTCTTGTTTATAAATCTTTTTGTAAAGGATGTTTACTTGAACCTTTACTGTTTACCTCCATTTTAGACGCACTGTCACAATTTTTATGTAGGAAATGTCAGCAGTGGATTCAGTAAAGTCAATTAATGTCCCAGTTCTGTACAAGGAATAATTTATTCCTATAATTCCTGCGTACCCAGAACATGACAGGGGGTACGCAGCCGTGCACCACTAAATTTGTGCACCAATCAGCCTTGAAAGGAACGCCTAGCATATTTCCGGATGACCACCAATCAGCCGCGGAGAAAGCCATCCGTCGGTAACCAGCCCGTGACATCATCTTGCTTTAAATATTAGGAGCTTTACGCCACCACACTCTGAAGCGAATAGCCCAGAGAGTAATGGTTATGCACCACTGAACGTTGCACCGAATCATCACTTCATACCCTGACTTTAGCTCGAACTGTAACTTGCGGACAACGGACTGCGACCAACCAGCCCAGGTCGCCAGTGGAACTGCATGCATCCTGNTGAGCACGCGCGTTTTTGAGCTATCACTAAACTATTCCACAAGAGCACGGTCGCTAAGCGCTGCGTGCTTTGTGATTAGTAGTGACGGTTATCTAAGTCTGGGGACGCCTGTCGGAGACCACCACTGCCGTGCTTCGAATGAACTCTCATGATCCCTTCCCTGAAGAACGTAGCCTACAACACATCTTGACTGTAACATTATCAGCCGCACGCCACCAGACAGATCACATCCATTGAATTAGATCAATCAGCCCACAGGAAAATAAGCCTGGCGGCGTAGGGCCCAGTGTCGTCTGCCAACACGCTAGGCGTTCCAATACACGCTAAGCGTCTGCCAATATACTAGGCGTTCCTTTCACGGCTGATTGGTGCATAAATTTGGTGGTGCACGGCTGCGTACCCAAGATTTTACGTGTTGACAAACGATGTTAGTGCATCAGACTGAATGACTCCCAAAAAGCTACGACTAAATTTACTGCAAACTCTTTTCAGCAATTGTTTTCTTACTGTTTTTCTCATTTTTTTAGAATTGGACTTTAAGTTGGCTATAAAAGTTGAAAGATAGTTTTCCGTATTTCATTTTCTTACGTTGATGTGACATTTTTATAAATATAAATATACGTTGTTGGTTCTACGGCGGTGACCGTCGCGCACGTACGGTCTGCAGCTATCGGACGTGACGGCCGCGGCCGTTAGGCCGGCGGTTTGTCGTTTTCGAACAATGACGGTCGCGACTTGCGAGAAACTTAGAATAGAAGTGTCGGCGTTGAAGAAATAGGCCCATGGCCTGTTGCCGATTCTTGAACTTTTCGTGACTTGGTTCACAAGGGATCCGGCCTTTTCGAGTCACCGACATGTGGAACAGCCTCCCTGATAGCATCGTTGAAGCTCCGAGTATGAACATCTTCAAAAGCAGACTAGACGAAGCTATGCAGGAGCATATGTTCAGTCTTAAAATGCCTAGCAAATTACGGGGCAGGCAATAAGTCCAGCAGCTATCTCAATCAATCGTCAGCTATAGAAAGATAGGGTTCCAAAGGCCGGATCCCTTGTGAATCAAGCCACGAAAAGTTCAAGAATCGGCAACAGGCCATGGGCCTATTTCTTCAACGCCGACACTTCTATTCTATTCTATAAGTTGACATTCAGTAAAATGAAGGTTTTGACACGCTTAAACTTGAGGTTTCGGAAGAACATAGGTACAAAAATTGTGTTTGTATTATAGCTACAACCTGAGAACTTTTTAAAAATTAGTTCTAAAAATAATTATTTGTCGAGGTCCACGCAACCGGTAGTTTTTGAATTGCTAGCTGACGACGAACCATTCTTAATGGGAGCCTCAGCTACTGTTCGTTTTGAAGCGTAAAGACATCGCAAGGCTAAGCTTGTGCGAGCTTCCAGTGCCCGCGTGTGCTTGATGATCTCGTGAGCTGGTCTCCTGTCTTCGCTAGGCCATCTTGCGGCTCGTTGGGCCACCATGTTTCGTTTATGCCATTATGCGGTTCGTTGCGCCATCGTGTGGTTCGCTAGGCCATCTTGCGGTTCGTTGGGCCATCATTTTTTTCGTTAACACTTTGACTACGATTGCTGCATCTTGTACTATTATTTCGTTTTTCGTACTGTTTTCTAACAGGGCTGCCAGACGGTATTTTTTCCGGATTTATCCGTGATTATCCAAATTCCGTGATTTAGTTTTCCTCAATTGCGTTGGCCGGCTAAAATTTATGATATAGGGGTACTTCCTAATTAAATTTTAAATACTCTAAAAAGAAAATAAATGGAATTTTCATAGCGGAACCTACAAATAAACTAGTATATATTGAGTTATCTGTCTTTTTTTAGCCTTTTTTGTTCTCGGATTTGGCCGATTTAAGGCAACCTGAATAATGTACCACTACGTCCTGGAGAAATACATTTCGTGGTACGCATCTGTACCACTTCGGAGTCAACGTGTTAAGGCCATCGTGCGGTTCGTTTGGCCACCATGTTTTTCGTTACCATTGTTTAATTCGTTGGGCAATCGTGTGGTTCGCTAGGCCATCTTGCGGGTTGTTGGACCACCATATGTTTCGTTAGCCATCGTGCGGTTCGTTGGGCCATCGTGTGGTTCGTTAGGCCATTGTTTGATTCGGTGGGCCATCGCGTGGTTCTCAGGGCCATCGTGCGGTTCGTTGGGCCATTGCGTGGTTCGCTGGGCCATTGTGTGATACGGTGAGTGGTCGTGTGGTTCGTTAGGGTACGCGCTCAGTGAAAGCAGGTTGCCAGCGTGCTGGTTACCTGCTCAGGCTGGCGCCTGAAACCATAGAATACAGAAGCCTATTCGTACAGGTTTTCACTGTGAACTTACTGTGTGGCCATCGTGTGGTTCGTTCGGCAACCTTATGATTCACAGGGCCATCGCGCGGTTCGTTGGGCCGTCGTGTGGTTCATTGAAACCTCGTGCGAAACACTTCTGATAAAAATGATGCAAGGCATGTAACGTACGAACATGCACTACCTGGTGGGTTTGAGCTTTTATGGCACACCCAACAACTTATCACTTGAATGATTTCGAACAATTTGCACAATCTTGGCCACAAGGCTTGCTACGTGATTCACGTTCTGCAACAGGTGCAATGCCAACTCATGTCTAGAAGAGTCAACTTACAACGGGGAAGTCGAAATTAATTCCTGTACCTCAATTTGAAGTCTTATATTCGGTAGCTTATAAGCTAAGGAATAGATTCTATGATTGAATGACGAGAGAATCAGAAGGCCCAAGGCACGATGTGTGTGCCAAAAAAAATAATTTAAAATAACCTTGAAGGCTTTTTATTTCAGAGTCTTTCGCGGATCTAAGTTTATCAGAAATATGTATAATAAAACAGATCAGTATTTATTAACGTTAATTTAGGTTTTCAAATGAATCAACAAATTCAATGACATTTAAGTAGCCGTTCCCCTCGGTATCGCGATCAGACAAGCTTCAGGGCTAGAGCGCTGAGGCATACATACAAAGCATGAACTCTGCGCGTGCCCAATCATTTTGATCGATACGTCATCGGTCTATAGTTCACAAAAGGTGCGAAGTGGAGACTACACTATTTTTAAAAAATTACCTGGAAATGTCTGCAATTCCTTATGCAAAATCCTTCATTAGGCTAAAAAGTTATTGGTAGATTGTCACACTTGATAAAATTATTTGATGAATAGCGTCAGAAATACTAGAATGATGCAAAAGTATTCAGAATAGAAATTGTAACAGTAGAACTAATGATATCACCAAGCCTTTCATAATGATCAGAATCATCGGTAATTTTGTCATCTGCCTTTGCTCACATAGTTATTCATTTCAAGGCCAGCGTTCATTGACGCAAAATATTTGAGTAGGTTCATTTTGAGTGTTCAGTATTGTATCAACATTACTAATTTTATGCAGAAAAAAATTAATCAAACCAATATTCTTAAACACATTGACGCGAGCTGAAGCCAAACATTGGGTATTTCATGTGTATTTTATATTTTGAAGGCATCAAAAACTTTTTGCATGCATGTGCGTGAAATTCGTTTGAATCTAGGTTCTACGAAAATTATATCTCTGCAGTCTTTTATTATTTATTCTCACGTTAATACGAGATAGCATCAATAACGAAAACAAAATTTATTCTGCATCGGATTCAATGTTTATTTGGAAAAAACTTGAATACGAATAAAGATCACACACTCAGAATACCCATCGATTTACTCGTGCATTGAATATTTTGCATTCTTTTATAACAAAAATAAGAAGAACATCTGGCGCTACATGAGAGGATTGTTAAAAAATTAGGGGGTTGTACTTCAACAAAGAGTGACGGGTGATCTCGACGTATCAAGTTAATCTGTATTGACAGGGGTTGACCGTCAAGCCTGATTTGGCAGGTGATCTCGGCGTAGCTGCTCCACCAGATTGATATATTTAACTGTGTTAAATCCTGCTATGAAATGAACGGAAACGCAAAGGAAGGAAACGCAAAGTTTCCTGTAAAGGAAACGCAAAGTTTCCTGTAAAGGAAACGCAAAGTTTCCTGTAAAGGAAACTCAAGTTAACATGGATATCTTCCTTCCATGGGTTCTAGCTCATGCGCATCATAATAATCGCAATGATATCTGCTCCTCAAAAGTGCAAGAAAGAACACTGTGGTTTCTATCATAGGCGTTATACGGGTGCGGCGCGGGAACTTACTTATTTGAATTGCGCGCCACGTGGCGGCCATTAGTCCTAGGAAGGTGGCTATGTATTGAACAGCATGGAGGTCACCTACAAGATGTAATATTCAAGAATTAAACTTGTAAGTAAACCCAACGAAACTTTAAATGTAGCTCTTTGTAAAAAAGAAAGAATTAAAACGCTATCTTTAATACTTTTTACTTTGTGATTTTTTTAAAAGAGTAAGTTCCCACGCCGCACCCTGTAGCTAGGCGTTATATATGCAACTGAATTTGCGCTTGCTCCTATTGGTTGGCCGGTTAACGATCGAGATTATTGAACCGGAATTGCGTGGTTTTTCGATGTTCTACGTGAGACGATAAAATTTTTACGATGAGTGCTCAAATGCATATGATGGCATGAAGAAATTCTAATTGATATAATTCGATGACATTTCCTCTTCAAACAGACCATCCACCACGATATATGGTTTCAAAACCCACACAAACATTAATAAATGCTACATAGTATGAAGATGCTAATTACTGAAAATGCTTACGCATATAGGTGATCAACTCGTGCTCCTCTATAAAATAGTTCGAAAATTTTTTTCGTATCAGCTAGATATTTACCCTCTACAGATTTTAAAGCTAAAATGGTAATATTTAAATTAAATCTTAATGTTAACCAGAAGTAAAAGTACGACGTTCGTGGTAAGAAAGTTTGACGCAGGAAAAATTTATCTGTCTGAACTTTGAATGAGGAATCGGTAGAAAAAATTAAATATTACAAACAGATACATGAAATTCAAAACTTTTAACAGTTCTTTTCAAGTAGAAGGAATTTTCCCGAGCAAGCAAAATGACATTTGAGGTCAAGTTTCTGGGTTAAGATTACGGGGTTACTTGCAAATTTTGTTTTGCACGAGTCGTCGCTTTGCATATTCAGTTATAATGAGCTTTTGAAACGCTATGAGACATTGGTATGAAATTTTAGTTAATTGTTGTTTTTTATTTAATTTTTACGATTCAATTAGCAGATCGAGCTCACAAAACAATTATAAATATCAGTTTGCAATTTTTCAGCTGGTAGCGTGACTCGTAACTTCAGAATTTGACATCGATGAGTATAATCCGGTGGTAATCGTTAAATAATTTTCGTTCATAGACTCTGATCGCACAGAAGTGCTAAGTGTAAGCCATTTTCTCACTATTTAACTTGTCTTTCATGCTATTAGCGAATATTTCCCAGCAAGAAAACCCCTTACTGCTTCTCGGAAATCAGCATGGGGGTTCTTTGCGCGTTCTCTCGGCAGTGTTTTAGTACAAGTCGATGACTTCAAGTTCCGCTACCTCCATGACGTAGGTATCGAAAGGACGTGCGATGTGTTTGTAGACGGCGACATAGCGGCTGCAGCGCGGAGGCGACACGTCAAACTCATGCCACTTTTCCACCCTGGGTACGGGGCCGTCGATGGCGCCCACCAAGTCGTACTGGCTGAAGTTCATCGCGGTCGGAGGCTCGTCGTTGCCAAGTAGAAACTTGGAGCAAATTTAATTATTTCATTTCCTAAACTTGATAACTTTTAAAAACTCAATTACGAAAACTTATACGCAAGTTCACACGTAAAATGGTCGAATTGAGTTAAACGTCAAACATTAATGTCAAATGCGTAATTTGTATGCAAGAAACTACAAATTTTTGCTTTAAAAAGTTGGCTTGGCAGTTGATAAATATACATGAATTTGGAAAATTTTATATATTTTCAAGTAGCACACATCATAACATGCAGTTTGTCAACTTTTTAAATGTGTAAATTCGGGTAAATTTCAATTTACCTGATAGTCTGTAACGCGGTATGGTTTTCCGCCAACGTAGGGAAGCACTCTAATTTTCTTCACCCACATGGAACCCACTAAGTTCACGAGCAGCCATGGCTTAGGATTCGCCCCTGTGGTGTCCGAGTGATACTTGGTGTCGTTGCGACCGTCCACGGCGTTTTCTTTCACACTGGGCAGCGGATCGTGAGAAGTAAGGTATTACAACAGATCCTTTATGTTTAAAAGCAATAGGGCATTAACCGTTGCCATCATTTAAGAAATAATCAATTTTTTACAAGTTATGCCAGTTGTTATATTCCAGAGTTGAATTGTTAGGTTTGGTGTTTACATAGAATAAAGGGAAGGCAATTATCCCTGGTAAGATTAGCCTGATATAACACGAATGATGATAAATGAACTCATCAATGAGTGTATATCTAAATAAATAGTCAGCCCGGACTTTACTGGTCAGCCCAGTTGGGAGAGGCAGTGACGGGCCTGCCGCGCGCCACTTCCCTCGAGGCGTTGGTGGGCGTGGGAGGTCTGTAGATAGCGCCCTGGCTTGTCGGCAACAAAACTTTCGACATCGTGCACACGCCTAATGATAAATTTGTCAAATAATAAACCATTTACCAACTATATCATACCAGGCATGATATTAAACAGAGCTGAGTATCTACCAATAGCCAAGAGGTGCATTTAAAAAATAATGCCGAGGGAGCGCCGCCGTGCACCACCAATTTTGAGCACAACCAAGCCCTGAATCGAACGTCTTGGATCTCTCCGGACATCCACCAATCAGCCGTAAACCACTCGGCTTTGTCCACCTCCAGCCTGGCATAAAACCTGCCGTGCACCACCAGGCCGCGGATCGAATATGACTTCCGGGCATCGTTAAATTACGTAATTTTACGTTCACCGTATCTAAGGTTAGGTTTCAGATAGCAAAGTTATGTTCCAAAATTTGTCGTCCTTCGACGAGTGGCCGCTCGACCGAGGGCTGGTTCGACCCACAGCCTATAGATACGGACGGCTTGAAGTGTTGAAGGCTACGTTCCGAAAGGCAGGAATCATGATAGTCCATTTCATCCAGGGCAGTGGTGGTCTTCGGCAGGCAACCCAATGCCGAAATAAAAGGATTTATCTCAAAATGTTTCATAAATGTCGGTGATAACATTAGTCTAAATAAATTGCACTGTTTTAAACTAAACAGTCACAAGTTCGCTAAGAATATATACAATAACGAAAAACTAGATGTATCGTCAAATAACCGTATATAGTGAAGAACAATTATACTTTACCACTACATCCAACAAAGTCAATTCTTTAAAAGTCAACCTCGAGTGTACATCTCTATGCATCAAAGCATGCATGTTTATTAACTACGTTTTCTCGTGGTCAAATATAAGTTGCAACGCTCAGTATCTAATATATAAATAAATAATTTAAACAAAATTTTAGTATGTGCACTTACCGTTTTCAAATTTGAACGCTTCACAATTCCTAACAGCACAGCGCTTGCTGCACACGAGTTGGCTGCTGGCTGCAACAACCAAAAGCTGGTCCGACTGCGCAAAGCATGTCGTAGGGCGTCGGGAGTCAACCCAGAAGGTGGAATTCACCTCTTCCCAAAGAAGAGTGAGCCAGAAAAAAATGATGGCAGCCCAAGCACTCAAGTACATCTTATATTTAGTTGATTTAATGATAAAATTGTCTAAAATTTAACTCCTGGATTAATGGAGTCTCTGCGAATCAATCAATTTATTTTACTGCAAAAAAAAATATAAAAAGTGTTTTGGCTTTGAGTCAGAACTGTGGACTGACTAGAGATATATTAGAAAAGGTCGATTTGACACAGCAGAACTGAATAGCTGCTAGTCACGCTAGATGTAAGCATGAATAAAGCTGAACAATTATTTGAACGTTAACTCATTGCTTCCCTAATGTCCCAACACCTGGTTAAGTATGAAAATTTTAATCGAACTCTCATGCTGTGTGACGGTTAATTGAGTCTCAGAAATTTACCTGTGATTGATTTTAATATATATAAAACTATTTTTCATTTTTGGGCTAGATGCTAATCATTGTCAGCGAAATAAAAGCTACGATACTCTTTGCACCAAAAAATTCAAGTTGAAATTCCAATTCATGCTATGCACCATCTGATCGCAGCATTGATAATGATATTATTGCTTACCCGCTCCACTGTTTCATACTTTCGCTTGCTCCAAGTATCACCTACAGCACAGACCATTGCAAATGAAATGGGTTGCAGATCTAATGTTCTAAAAAAATTCCATATGAATTTAAGTTAACTTAATATAAAAAATTGTCACGAAAAAGTTTTGTACTACCTTAACGTTTTACTTCAAGGAAACATTAATCTGTAATGTGGATCGTATTATTTCAATAGATTTCTGTATTTCCCCAACTCCTTTTAGGCGTTTAATGCCGCTGAGTTCAGCAGAAGAGACTTGTGTATAGCATCTCGGAATTAGGGAAAAATTACATGGTTATTTTGCACCTAAATTTAATTCAAATCTCGAAAGGAAATTCAGGCTTCATTCAGCAATTAATATTGTTTTAGGGACTGCATCAGCTGTTTGCTTTAACTAAAATTTCTGATAGCGCTGAATGCTGAAACATAATCAAGGTATTGAATGGAATAATTTTATACGTAGTTTTTAAGGGCGTGCAAAAATTGCTACCGGTCAGATGTTAAAAATTGTTCGCATTTAATAAGCTGCTAATGGTGCATGATGTTCGCACCGCACGCACTTCTGTCACGCACTCCACCAAAGTGAGGTGGAAGTTTTTCCCGTTCTCCACCATTGCTTGATCATAATTAGGCAATGGTGGTTCAATAGGGTTTCTTAATATTTTAGGCAATATTGACGCAATCCCTTTTAGAAAGGATTTATGATCTAAATCTTCTACCACTTAATGTTATCCAATGAAAATTTATCAATAAGGATTTTTAGCATAATGTACGACTGATCACTAAGGGTTTCGCATTTTAAAGGAATTTTGGCAAGTACGAATAATGACCAGTTTGTAGGCTGGTCGACGTCCTGGCGCGATGGATGCTTCAAAAACTAATTGATTACTCAATGAAGAGTAAGACTGTGGGCGGAGCTTGGTGATGACATGTTCTAGACTCGTTCATGCAAGAACGTGCGTTTTTGCCCACTGCACAACTATAAGTGTTACCGCGATTGGTTCAAACTCTTTAAGCTGCACGATAAGCGATATATTTTATATTATGGATGAATTTCAGGTAAGCTACTTGGCTATAATAATTTTAGGATGTTATCTTCCGAATCGATTGGGACGTGTTAAATCAGATACTAAATTTTTATACTGCCATCAAAAAGTATCTTTGCACGAGAACCAACTCATGTGGGAAAATGTTTCTACCAATGTTGTATGGAAAAGGTGCAACGTGAATCCTTGCGTATCTGGTGGTAGGTCACACTACTAGAGAATTACTTAGAATAATGGCATCCCTAAAATTTCACCCGATTTGAATATTAAAAAATAAAGCTTATTTATTATGCAAGATTTTACTGTTATACTACTTTTTATAAGTTTCATTTAATTTTCTGAAGTTGTTTGATGTTGTGATGAGTCTTGGTGGTAGGTATACCGTGTATGTTGTGTAACGCATTTTAGTTGTGCTTGACCTTGTCGGTGTGTCGGGTAATTTTGACTATTGCGTGTGAGGTGGGTTGGTAAATGGGGGCTCAATTTAACCAGCATGCTCTTAGAAAAAAATGATATGCTAGAAACGTCGCAGCATTGCCAGGAGTGCCTTTCATCACCATCAATAAATTCGGCTCTGCACTTGAAGTCGTAATTATCTGCTGTGCTTTCCTCTTGGTCGAAGAAAAAAACGATTCATTAAGCAGTGTATAGTTGCCTTGCAAGGCTGACGATGTGTGCTTTTGGCGTCATTGCTGTCAGTTTGATATGTATTGTGTTGAACCGTCTTGGATTGAATTTGAAGCAGGATCGGGTTCCAAAGGCCGGATCCCTTGTGAATCAAATCACGAAAATTACAAGAATCGGCAACTGGCCATGGGCCTATTTCTTCAGTGCCGACACTTCTATTCTATGCTAATGAAATCTTTTCATGTCAGACAAGTAACGGTAAATCCAAAGACAGCAAATATAAACAATCTTATGTATTTTTTTTCGTGTTTAATGCCGAAAGATTCAACCGTAAAGCTGCAATCAAGAATAGGAATGTAATATCTGCACGAATAAATACCTAAATGACATGAGTGGAATATTTTTGATAGAATATTTTTATCGAACCTGATCGAAATCTTGACGCCATCGTTGCGGTGACTTCAAAGTTTGGAACAGAAACAATTTAGAATATTACGCAATTTGACGAATAATAATAATATACTAATAAAGGCATTTTCCTTATGAGATGTGGCACGTCAATCCTGTTCGTCAGCTCGCCTTCGTGTATATAAATAACATTACGATTTCTCAAAAGTACTTTACAGTTTACACTAGTCAGCGTAGAAAGCAAAAAATAGGGAAACTCAGCTACAAGATAACGGCAGAAATTAATCTAAATCAAACCTGGTCGAAAACCACAATTTAATTCCACAATACAACAGACGAGGCCTGTAAAAACTGATTACGCATGTAAAAATCCACACTGAAGCCTAAATAAGCGACCCTGACACATAAATTTGGAAGTCCTCCAGTGAATCTGGGTGGTCTTAAGCTTACGCGTCACGTACAACCTCCCACCCCAACGTTTTGAACGAAAATGAAACGATGCGCACGCCGCACGGGCAGGCGCCTCTCGCTAGTGTTGCCACCTAAACCGAAGTGTTGTCACAGTTACGTGTCGAAATTTGAGTGTACTTGTCTTGGGCAAAACTGAATTATAAGTGGAGGACAAAATTATTAAAAAAAGTTGAGAATCGCATTTTTCATAAAAAAGGCCCAAAAAAACAAATAAATTTTATCAGGCCAATGCATTTTAAATAATATTCGTTTAAAAATTACTTTGCAAAGACAACACTTCCAAAGAATCCAGTGTCTCTAATCATACAGATGTACAATGAATTTCTCATTTAATTTTCGAATAATAAAAAAATTAGTTTTTCATTTTTTATTATATAAATTTTTTTCCAAAATTAGTTATTCTGTTAATTGATTCATGCATTGCCTCGGATTTCACACAAGTGTGCAAAATTTCAGATCAATTACACAGGTAAAAGTGTGTCAAATAACAGTTATAAGATTTGTAGCTGACAAAATTATTTTTTCAATATTTTTACAATTGGAAAAAAATGTTTTTTCAATTTTTTAAATAATTTATTTTGACATTTGATTCATGCATTGTCTCCAACTTTACACAAGTGTGCAAAATTTCAGATCGATTGGACTGGTAGAAGTGTGTTAAATATCGATTATAAGATTTGCCCTGAAAAGGCTCACCTAACAACACTGCGCACGGCGGCACGAGTATCCTAGTTACTCCGAAGCAGGGCTTGGCGAATGGTTCTCGGAAAATACGAAGCACTAACAATAAAAGTCTTGATATTATCTCGTGAATACG